GCTTCAATCTTTAGATGTATCAATAAACAAACCATTAAAAGAATTTCTGAGGAAAAAATAAGTCAACTGAATGCAATCTCCAAATTTTGAGGAAGCATCTATATGTAGGAGAGAAAAAAAGACCACAATTTTATAGTTTTGAGATTGGTTAGAGTTTATGAAATGAAGTGAAACCCAAAATTAATATAAAATCATTTAAAAAGTGCAGCATTAGTAATTCTCTTGATGGTACTGAAGATGACTTACTATTTAAAGACATCAATAAAGTTGTTTCTGAAGAAGACTCTAGTTCAAAAAATTTTGAGTATAAAGATAAAAGTGAATAAAGATTTGAAAATATTAATCAAATTTACAAAAAATGATCTTAACATAAATGTACTTTATTTTTAATGATCTTTATGGAAAGATCTTATCTACCATACGTAAAGAATTATTTTATTTATACAGAGGTACCAACTGCTATAAATTTTCTGTAGTTAGTGCAGAAGTTACATGTAAATTATGGATTTATGGATAATATTAATAATAAAAGTTCTACTATACCACTAAACCAGCAAAAGATGTCCATTTTAAAAACGTACAAAAACATTTGCTTTCCAAAAGTGAGTGGTTCTTTTGCTTGGTTTATAGCAATAACAAGTATGTGATAGATGGGTGATGTTCAATTGGGTGATTCAAAATGAATGATAATCAACTGAGTGACAGAAAACTAAAAATTTTTGCATGCTTTGTAATCACACAATTTGACAGATTTTTCTGTAAATATTATTAAAATATATATAAATATAATTCACAAGTCATTCAAATTTATGGATTTTTATAAACAGATTACAAAAAATACATGATGTCGATTATGAAAGAGCAGTAGCAGGTTTTCAACGTCTAATATTTGTTGTGGGAGGAGGAGGTTGAAGTAATTTGACCAAAAGTTAATTACTAGACACTAAATTAAAAGACACTACTAATTAATACTGGTGTACTATTAATATTTGAAAAGTGATCCATGTTGGATAGGTTGTGATGACACACTCATGTGAAGTTGCTAACCTTAACATTCAAAAGACTTCATATAACTTGTTTAAACAAAAAATGATTGCCACATTAAATTGGACTATCATTTGGCTTTAATATAACTATCAAGCTTACAAATGTTTATATTTGTATATCTAGCATTGTTTTCTTCCTTCTTTATATCTTTCTATAAGGTCTTCAATCACAAACAAATGGAATCTGAATGATATTCAGATTGTTCTGCAAATAAACGATGATGATGACTACACATTATTACTTATTCTGTTTATGCACATCTTACAACAGAATAGTATTTTGAAATTTAAAATTATTGAATTTAATTCGACGAAAAATTCATATATCAGAATAATTAAAATATATTCTTAAAAAAAGCAACAAAAAAGCATAATCCCGAAAATGTCTCCAAAGAGCAAATAAATATTTAAATAAATATTATTTAATATTTTCCACCTACAGTAATTCAGCTTTCTCTAACCTGTCTTATTAGTAATTTCATTTTCTTCTTTGGACCTACTCAGAACACTTATTCATTGCTAATCTTTGCATTAAACACTTATTAGTGTTTAATGCAAAATTCAAACAAACAGCCAAATTCCTTTATCAGCCTTAAATAGCCTGATGAATCTGATTGTTCATTTGATATTTAAAGTAATTATTGGGTTAGTTGTACATGTCATTGCTAATTTTTTAAATTTATCTGATTTTTAATATCCTTCTCCATATCCATGTATGACACTTCCTCCTTTTACTCCCAAAGCCAATTTAAGATCCATAATAACCTTTCAAATGTAGCATTTTTTCTCTCTCTCTCTCAGCTCTAAATTTAGTGGCTGAAATAAGATTCTTGCCATTCTAATAAAACTTTATTTAGAAATTCCTCCTGTTATTCATATTCTTATTATAATGCCAATTTTAACAATACTACCTAAATATTTAAAGCTACATACCACTTCTGTTGTCTGTCCTCTTAACTAGCTATATTATTATTTTAGTGTTGTTCTCAATACAAATCATTTTGTCTTACACTTATTTACTTTCATGTAGTATTCTTCACAAACTATTTCTTTTAATAAATCACGTATCTCTTTTCTTTCCTTAAAAGAATGGCTATATAAGAAGCAGATTGTAACAATAAACTTTGATTATATTTAAAAGCTATGAAATTATGAAAAAATATTAATATATTGCAATATATATAAAACAGTCCTCAATTTTTCATTATTATAGTAGTCAACAATAATTATAATTAATAATTTTTTTATTTATGTATGAACAAAAAATTTTTATTGCTTGCATTATCACATATTATTTGGCCTAGTAATGATTTTTTTCCATTATGTTAAGATTATCGTGAATTAAAGAAATTAAGAAAAATGAAATTGTCTAATACAATTCAAAATATATTATAACAAACAAAACTAAAAAAAATATAATAAAATAATGATCATACTGAAGATTTTTTTTTATTTTGTTTAATTCAAAAATAATAACTTGTAAATATCAAATTTAAATCTGTAAGCATGCGTTCTTCCTTATACGTTCTATATACATACATTGTTCCGACAAATGATTTGGTTCACCCGATGTTTTTGGTTTGTTTCACCATGCTAACATTTTTCATCAATTAAAATGATCAAAAATGTTAGTACAGTCGACCCCCCTATAACACGGGTTCCTATAGTTTGGATTCCTATATCACGGCGAAAAAATTGCGACAGTATTCGTACAAACATGCTAAAAAAACTCCTATAATTCAGTAAAACATCATCGCCGACTCGTGTCGCGACAGGATTGCACAAACCTTTGAGTTTAAACGAGCTGCGGACCTACAAAAACCATTTATTATTTAACGTCCATAAAAATTATATTTATATTAATGATGTCTCTAAAGTTCAGCGGATTTTTCGCAAAAAAAATAATTTATTGGGAAACACGCGAGCCCCACTCGATGACAATCTCCACAACGAAAACAAGCTTAAGCAACGGCGTCGTCAAACGGTGCACACTCGGTAAGTAATCCTACAATTTTTTGTTTATAGCATAATTTATATGGATTATTCCCAAAAAATTATACATATTTTGGAAATGTTGAGTCGAATTAGTCTAGAATTGATTAATTTTATGGAAGAAACCTTTCAAACAGCCGTAGTCCATAAACTGCATTTGTGCTAGGCTGTGATTGGCTGAACTCCTAGAAGCTGGATTCATAAAAACAGGAACGTATCTACCGTGTTATAGGGGGGGGTCGACTGTATACTAATACCTATTCATTGCTTAATCATACTTTGTGATTTTTAATAACAATTACTCAATCTCTTCTTCATTTGCAAATGATTTTTGAACTATTCCAAATTCTTTACAAATTCATTTTAAATTTTATATATTAGTTCACAATTTCAGTCTTTAATTATCCATAAATGGACAGAAGAAAATGCAGAAGATCTAAGAAATTATTTGTAGAATACATTAACAATTTTAACCGGTAACCATATTTGCAGTGAAAGTTCTAAGAATTTGCACTGTAAATAATGACACAAATCATCCAGAAGAGAGAGTAATAGAGAAACAGCTCTAAGCATTTTATGGCTTCCATAAAAAAAAGTTTTAAACTGATTACAATTTATATATATTTATCTATATAAATTATTATACTTGATTTTTTCTTCTCCTAGTAAGTTATTTTCTTATTGTCTATTCGCACAAATATTAACACAAATAAATGCAAATCTTACAACAGAATAGTATTTTGAAATTTAAAAACTATCAAATTTAATTTGACGATAAATCCTTATATCAGAATAATTAAAATATATTCTTAAAAACACTCAATAAAAAAACACAATCCCAAAAACGTCTCCAAAGAGCAAATAAACGTTTTCGGACAGGCACTCCAAAACTTTAAACAAATAATAGTAAAAGAATAGTCGATTTCCAAATAAATTACATACGTACATAATTTTATACATAATAAAATAATAATAGTCACCGAAATCCAGAGTATTAAATCCTAATCGGCAATTAAACTACAAACGTCTCCGTCGACGCATCAAAGTCGAGACGAAAATTCGTAACGCGTTTACGGTTTAATCCAAAATGCACGGGCGACCATTACACGCGAAGACGTATAATTTATGCATTATAAGTAACCGTCCCGCCAAAGATTTCGACCGAACGGCTTCCATCTAAAATTACGGACATCCGCGGATTCGAAAGCATCTCGCTCGAATGGAGATCCGAGCCGCCGGAGGCGACCGGCGAGGCGCGTCGACTCCGACGCACGTACAAAATCGATCCGGGGCCAAACGGCACCGGGCGGTCCGAGCTCCGCGCGATTCCGACAAAACCCCAAATTCGAAGCGACCGGAAACGAACGGTCCGTCGAAACTAAACCCATTCCGCATCTGTTCGAACCAACATTTGATTCCAAAGAGAAGTTACAAGAGCAACAAATCGTCCATTCTCCTTCTTTAAAGGTACTCCGAGAATTCTATTTAACAAAAAAATTGTAACCGGTCCAATCGAGTTACTCGATAAGAGATGCATTCGATAGGTAAACAAATCATATACGAAATCATCGACTAGAACTCGGTCAACGTGGACGGTCACACAGAGGAGCAAAAATTAAAACCCAGAGACTCGTTTTTAGCATACAAACACGGCCGTTCGTCACGGAAAAACAATACTAAATCAATCGGTTGGTGGACAAACGGGCTTTAAAAGCTTAAATCGGAGACTTTAATTACGAAATAAAGTTGGAAAAGATTGGATTTCGAAGCGAGTAAAAAAAGAAAACTGGCTTTTACGGATACGACCATTAATCAACATAATGTAAATAGGAAGTAGTGCCCATTAGAAAAGACGTAAAAGTTACGGTCTAAGCCAAGTCAATGCGAAGATATTACGGTGTTTTCGCGTCGTCGGTGGTGTAATTTTAACAAACGATGGAAAATAAAGGGAGAGAAACCTACTTGAACGAGCATTCTGCCACGAAGACAAAATCAGACGACACTCGGTCTTAAAAGACGCGCCATTAATAGGCTTAACAGAACTGGGAAATTTGAACTGCTTAATTCAACATAAATGGAATAAACATGCGGCTTCCATAGTTTTGTGACGTCGGTCGTGGCACGTAAATCGACCGAACTTATAAAGATCGACGAACGACCGTAGATTCCTACTTATTTATTGCTTAACAATTCCAATAGGCTTAATGAAGGATATATACTCTAAGCAGGAGCAAAGTTGCAATATTTGTGCATCGTCCGTTTTCCGTACTCAGCAGATGCTTTTTATTTTTTAATTTTTTATCTTAATTATAATAAAAAACATACTGTTTTTATATCATATTGACATCAATTACCCGATCTTTGGGCGGGCATCTTCCGAGTCTTCAAAATCACGCGCCGACCATTGCCATCCCATAATACTAATCACCGCCCTCGACCGATCCGCGGAGCGCGCAGACACTGTTAACCGGGGCGGGCGGTGGCAATTTCATTTTTCTCTCCCTTTTCTTCTCTCCTTGCCCGACGCTTTCGAAAGACCGCAAACTTATAAATTCTTCATTTTCTCTTCCGATTAATACAGTATATAATTTCCTAACCCAACGTCTAATATATTTCTTATATTCGTCTGTTTTCTTCCACATTTACATTATCGCCTTCGTTTACCCAATTTTTTTCGGAAAAAGTAAAATAAATTTCAATTCTAGAAATTTATTTATCGGTTTAGTTTCTTTTTAGGCGATATTAATCTAAAATCAAAGCCCGCTAATCGATTTTAAGTACGCGCCTAACATTATTTTTTTTCCGCCGCCTTAGTTTAGACCCGACCACCAGAGGGCTAAACGTTAAACATCCCCCAGCCATTCGAATTAAACTTTAAATTCGAATGGCAGGGGGATATTTAACGTTTAATTTTAATTTGAAAAAACAATTCCAATCCGAATTGTTTATTAATTCGATTTAACGAAGCCAAAACGATAGAATTAACCACGAAAGAATTACAATAACGAGAATTCCAAATATTAAATAAAATCTTGAAGAAAAATATGAAAATATTTTCGAATCGATTTTTTTACTCTTTTCGCCCTAAGAGGGCCTCATTTAGCCAGCCCGTCGTGGGTTCGGCCGGGCAAACAATGGGGCGTCTGGGTGTTGAGAGACGAGACCCACTTTTTATATTATTATTGATATAAAATAGCGAAAAGCTTAATTTTCAGGATATGGATAACTTTAATATTAAGTAACTTGTAGTTCATAACCTATAACTCGGCCAGGCCGGGTGGCCGAGCCGCTAAGGTAGCAGCCTACCGCTCTGGAGGACCGAGATCGAAAACTTCCCAGCAATTTTTTGAGGGAGTGATCCGACCAGCTATGTCGGGCTTTGTCCTTTACCGTCCGGCCGCCCCATTGTGGGTCTGGCCGAACTTATAATAGGCTTGAAAAAAAGAGGCCCTCTTACTTGTTAGTGCCAGAGGGCGGAAAGAGTTATATAAAAATACAATGCCCGGCGTTGTCCGGGCAAAAAATTAGAACAAACATTAAAAGTAGCTAATTTCGTACTTTTAACCCTTCTATCGTATTATATTATAGAATTTGGTTTATATAACTGCAAAGGTTATCTTAAATAGCCGATCTTACCCGTTTGCACCGGGTGCAAGAATTAGTTCTCTCCTCTTTCGAAGCTAGTTAGAAAATTTTTAGATGGGTCTAAAAATATGTTCGATTTCCCTCAAAACCGCACCTAAAATAATATAATAGAAGCCGAGTTCTTCGGGGTAATCACTAACTCTTTTCCTCTCTCCCGCGGGGGAAATTTTGAAAAATCCCTTCTTACTGTACGTTCTAATGATTTATCATAACTGTGTACCAAATTTCATCTTTCAACTCCTTAACGTTTGGGCTCTGCGCTTATTATTATTATTGTCAACCAATTTCAATTATATATATAGATAAGAATTTTTACGATTTTGAAAAAATTACATTTTGGTGCGCAAGGGTATATCCCGCCTAAGGCCTCGCCTTCTTCGGGGCTTTCCGCCAATGCTCACAATTGATATTTTTTGTTCCGTATCTATATCTGTATTATACCTCCGCGAGAAACTGAACCGGAGATTTCAAAAATGTTTAAAACTGTCTTTCCGGGATCTTACTGTTTTAAAATTTATGATTGATATGAGCCTAACAGCTCGTCCGGATGAAGATCGGCAATGCTAATAACAATTGAGAATGGATTTTCATTTTAAAAAATACATTATCGTGGTTTGAAAAGTCATTCGGTTGATTTAATACGAGAACTCTACCATTATGTCACTTACGGTATTTAAAATATTTAAATAAATGAAGTCACTCGCTGTTATGGATACGTAACAAGCAAAAGCATCGGAATCGTGTCATATTTGACTCTCCGGATGTTTTGCAAATCTCTGCGTTTCGAGACCCCCGAATCCTAAAAAGTCAAAAACACTGGAAAAGATTCCACCTGTATGTATGTTGACATCTATTTTGTTTAATGTCTCGGGGTGGGGAAAGATTAAGAAACGAAATTTGAAACGGTAGCTCTTGTACGAGTTGCATCGATGCTATTGAATTTTGGGGGTTAAAGGTCGACGGGATGGTTGCATATCGTGTCTCGAGAAGGGTAGGACTTAACGAAGATTTTACTCGTTATTAACATTTACAATTTTTATCTTAACAAACAAACAAACAAACAAATTATGAGTTATTTCCAACTTAGGGGAAAAAAATGTTTTAAATCAACGTACTGTAGCATCGCTATTTATTGTATGTCGTTGTTCGAGAACAAATTCTTTCGAAGTACTTTTATACTTTTTTGTTCCAACGTATCCAAACAAAAACACCCGATATGTGAAAAACTTAGGCCAAGTAAAAATTTATGACAATTTAGACGACGATCACGATTTTTCTTAGCAGTTTTTCTTGGGCTTGGCGCTCGTAAGCGGTACCCAAAAAATTACCCGTATTATTGTTTTTTACAATTCGCCTCCACACGCCAAACTTATCTTTACTAAAGAAAACCTGCTAAGAAGAATTTTGATCGTCGTCTTAAATTGTCATAAATTTTACTTGGCCTAAGCTTCATACATCTCGGATGTTTTTGTTCGAATATCAATTGCTTTGTTTTAATAATTGTATTGTTACGCCAAGGTATAAGATCGGTCCGCGCACGGCGACCGCCGACCAAATGCGCTCCCAACTAACTGAACGCTTTCCATATTCTTTCCGGTCGGTTTCGACGAACCCGCCACTGACCGACGCTTTCGCTTTCGACCGTTTAGAAAAATTGATATATAAGATTTTAATTGACATAAATTTGAAATTTTGTAATTCTGAGTAACATTTTGAATAAATTTAGTTTGTTTCCATGCAATTTTATCTTTATAAGCATAAAATTAAGCCGTAAAACTGAGTTAACTCTACGTGGAAACCGCCGTAAACTTTTACCTGACGACCCGGAAGTTTGTTTAGCACCTCACCGATAAGGAGAAAGGCTTAAGTTTAAAACTTGAGCTTTCTAGACCCGGTACTTTTCTCTGTACGAGCGTATGCGGCGCCAGATGAAGGAGAAGAAAATATAGCTTTTTGGTAATTTTTGTACTTTTCGATTGTTTATATTTCGGCAACCGCATTACAGAAAATCTTGAGATTTTGCGCACTATCTAAGAAACCAATTTTATTTCCAACAAGATACAGTCGACACCCCTATAACGCGGTTGATACGTTCCACTTTATAAGAATTTCGCGTTGTAGGAATCCTTAAATATATGAGCCAATCACAGCCTGGCACGTCTCCAGTTTTCGGACTACGGCTGTTTGAAAGGTATTCTTCCATAAAATTAATCGATTCTAGACTAATTCGACTTAACATTTCCAAAACATATAATTTTTTGGGAATAATCTGTATAAACTATGCTATAAACAAAAAATTGTAGGATTACTTACCGAGTGTGCACCGTTCGACGACGCCATTGCTTAAGCTTGTTTTCGTCGCGGAGTAGCGCACCGACTGGCGGGCGCGTTTTCTGATAAGTTATTTTTCTGCGAAAAATTAGTTGAACTTTGGAGACATCATTAATATAAATATAATTTTTATGACGTTAAATAATAAATGATTTTTTCACAAGAAATGTATAAAATTACAGTACCGTATTAGACTTACAGTACCTAATTTATATACTATACAAACGATAGTAAACTCAACTTACTTGCCTAAACTCTCTGTAACGTGTAAGTAGTTCGGCTGCTCGTCCACTATTGATCCAGATTCGACCAATCCTGTCGCGACATGAGTCGGCGATGACGTTTTACCGCATTTTACGAGTCTCTTTTAGCGTCTTTATACGAATACTGTCGCAATTTTTTCACCACGATATACGAATCCGCATTATATGAACCCGCGTTATAGGGGTCTACTGTATTTGGAATTATTTCGGGTGTTTGGAAAACGGAGAAATTAACTCCCGAAAATCTGCAACTCTGATTCCTGTATATATAGTCTGTCGGTGACTGTTTTACTTGGCAAGGAGACACACACACACACACACACACACACACACACACAAATCTTTTAATGTCGTAACCAACGTTACATAACTGGTTCCGCAATAAGCACAGCCAGTTTACAGATGTTTTAGGTATTGCAAATGTTATAGTTACATTTACAAAGTGTAAGAGTAATATGCATTATAGCATAAAGTATTACAATATATAAGTTGGAATATATTATATAAGTTTACAATTAATAGATTAAGATTAAGTATACATGTTTTGTTTTATATAGAAAAGAGATTTGTTATAATACGCGAGACAAATTTTTCGCGTGTTGGGAAGGGCACGACAATGTGTATGAAAGTTATACAATAAATAATGGGTTATATGTAACAGAATAAATACAAAATATAATAACTACATTGAAAAGATTAAGGCTGTCAGGAACTAAATGTTTACACTCAAAGTTCGAAACATTCATCCTGCATCGTGAACAGTCCTTGCTCTAGCAATTTCTATACTGGAGGATTTCTTCTCAAATTCCTAGAAATTTAAACAGTTAATTCATGTAGCATCATGCTAAAAGTCTGAGTGATGCTTAGAAGAAACCCCTAAACATTCAATTCACATTTAAGTTACAGTTGTAACCTTTCAATTTGAATCCATAAAATATCCTTGTCGCATATGCTCTTGAAAGTAGGTTCATAGAACAATATTTTAGAGGCACAAAAGAGAAGAATTCACCATATATCAC